CTGGGACAGCTCAGAGCAGAGGTTGAAGGCTGAGCTCAGCCCTGCTCGTTGTGCCCAGCCTGCCTGAAGATCCCTGTCCCAAACCTGTCCAGGCTAAGGCACATGGTGACAGAGCCTTTCCTCAACTCACCCGTGGTGCTACTCTGTAGTGGGAAAGAAATGAAAGGCTGAAAGTTACTTAGGGGGGAGAGCTGGACTGTTTCTTGCTGAGTTTCAACTCACTTCATTTGAAACTATTGTCAAATGCTGGCTTTTTTTCCCAGTCCTTCCCACTCAAAATTACATTATTTTTGTAACAGATTTTTATGTAATTGGCTTAAAAAGCTCAGGAGAAAATTTTCTCTGGTTCCCTGCAGAGTTTCTGCAGTTTTCCTTTTCTGCTGAGGCTTTGTAAAATTGGTATCAACTCACTGTTGATAGTAGAAGTAATGAGCATTTTATCACTGGCATTTTATCACTGTGGATGTAGTGATTGTAATATTTAACTCTTCATCTGAAGGTGGGATTGCAGGCCCTTTAAACATGCAGGTGTTTTCTGTGGTCAAAGCTGGCTCAAGATGCTAAGTAAATAATTTGTTACTGCGTGTCTAAAAAATGCATTTTGACACTTACTTCAAATATTTTCACATGCATTTTTAAAAGGTTTTTATTGAGCATCCCAAACCACACAGCAGAGTTTTCACTTGACTAAAACTACTGAAAATATAATTCTGGTATATGAAAAGGTTTCTTCTGGCACAGTGAGCTTTGCTATGAGGAAATGCCATTCCTCAGGACATTAGGATAAAACCTGGAAGCAATGTTCTACTCAAGGGGTGTAACTGCTGTGAGATCTTTGGCAAACCTCCTCACCCTCTGGGCCTGACGCCCTTGAAAATGTGATATAAGGATTTCCAATATTTTTTAAAAATGTTTTGACATCTACAAATGCAAATTGTTACAGAAATTTTAAGGACAGCACTGTATGTTGTGTATGAGGCCAGTGGGCAGTAACTCCTCAGAAAATTTTTTAAATGCAAATCTTGCAAATAACAAGAGACAGGGTGACTGAACTGAGGAGTAGCTCAACATTTGAGGGCTCAGACAAACATCTCAGCAGGCAACAGGCCAGCCACTTACAAGTATAACCTCCCTTCCTCCATGTCAGCTTTTCTGTTAGTGACCTTAGTAGTTTACTTTAAGTCAATATTTACTTTAAATATTATGATTAAGTGACAATAATTTAACAAGATTAAAATGCAACTCTGATAAAAATGGAGCCAAGTACACACTAGAACACTTTCTACAAGAGATCCTCTTCAAGGGGCCTGAGCTCTGTTAGGCTGAGAAGATATGCTGGGGGTGTTGGATCTGCCACACTCTGTGATGGTGTTGAAGAGGGATCTCCTGTCAAATTCATTACTTCAATTGTGCTGCCACAGCTGGACATTATTCTCAAAGATCAGCTTCGTGCTACAAAGGCCCTTTGAGCCACTGCAGATGATCACTGGCACCTGATCAAGGCTGCCCAAAGTAGCTGAAGCTACTGCCGTGAGGAGCTGTGGTGGCACAGGACTGCTCTGCAGTGACAGCAGCCACTGGGAGGGACATCCTTCCTCTCTTCCCTCCAGACTGCAGCAGTTGTTGCTGCCTCAGCTCTAAGCATGCAAGTTCTCATGACAGGTTTAAAACCAGTTTGAGCCCTGCAGATGAAAAGTTCATAAAGGCAAACCTTGAAAATTAAGTTTTCTTTACGAAACATCTGGTTATAAGTTTTGCAGCTCTTACCAGAAAATCTAGCTGATCTAACATACATCCTGCTAAGGAGTGCAGATACTGTGGTTTTTAAAAAATCCTTTGGCTAGAAAATGTCTCTGAAAGTCTCTAAAATATTTGCTCCTGCTGCCTAATCACTCTTTAACATTTCTTACAACTGATGGGGTAAAGCTTTTCAAATTCTGTCTTCTACACAAAAGTTGTTTTTTCTTTGTAGCTCCTGTGAGGAAGTGGCACCAGTTTTGTGACCATTATTTATTATATCCATGAGGCTGCATAGCCAGTCCTGTCCTTCTTTCATGCCTTGCTTTATTCTTCAGGGGAAGCAATCAACACTTTGTTACCAAATATAAGACAGGGTTGAACTTTTCAATGCTATTATTAAGAAAGTGTCAGCATGAACACTGTAAATTCCCTTTCTGAGGGATTTGTGACCAAAATGTAAAACTATACTCCTAGCTGAAAAACTCACTTTTCAGATCTTATAGTATGAATTGTGATATTTTAAAATTCAAGGGGTCTTTTAAAATTATAAGAAGGAAGTTAAACTGAAAAGAAAAAAAAGAATAAAGGAAGGAAGATTTTTTTCTAGTGGTTAACCTTCTTTTTAAACATACGGGCTTTTCTGGGGCAGATTCTTCAATTCAGAGAACTAATTTTCCCACACCTCTCCTCAGCATATATCTACAGACTTGCTTTTTCTACAAAATAGGACTGGAGATGTCATGTGATAGTTATCTCTGACTATGAGATCCACAATCTTTACAGGAAATTATGTTGTCTGCCTGGAAATTCTCACTTTTGAGGTTTGGTTGTTGGACAGCAGAGCTGCTGATTCTGATAATAACTCCAATCTGTTGGGATTGTGAGGAAGTCTGTGTACTCTTATTTCGGGTCTAGTCAATGTGCTGAGTAACAGCTGGCATTTCTAAGAGTTACTTTTTTATTGGTTTGGTTTTAAAGATTGCTTACTCCATCTGAGATTTTGTTACATCCAGCAATTTACAGGATTCAGTGTTATGATCCCCACTGCAGCTATGACTCTCCAACATACTTATTTTCTCTGGCTATATAATGACCCATCAGCTTTAAGAGCATTTTATCAGGTAAATCTAAGGTCATGCAAGAAATGTTGGAAATGGGTAGGTTTTATTTGTCCTTCCAAAACACCAGCGAGGCACAACCACAAATATGTCCAGACCAAAGTTTTTCTTTGCAGCAGTGTTTTATCTATTGCAGCACAGCTCTAAATACCATAAAGATGAGCAGCTCTGTGCCTGTGTGGCTTCTGGGTCGTTCAAGGGTGGTTCCTGTGCTGAAGCTGTGCCATATGACTGGTGAGGAGACTGTTGGTACCTGGCCAAGCGAAGCAGAACCAGGAGGGGCTGCTGGGCTGGTATTTGCTGGAACTTGGATTCACTCTCAACTCACCCAGATGACTCCTGGACCTGACAGCTGACATTAAGTGAATATTGCCATTTCCTGCTTGTGAAATGCCCAGGATCACCTGTACCCTTCAGCTTTCTGTGGTGTGAATGGATGTTTGGGTATTAGCTTCTGCAGCTGGGGAAATTGGCTGCTTGGCTCTTGCTTTTTGCCACTGTTCACATAATTCCAAAGGCTGCTTCAACATGAAACATTGAAGACTTTAAAGATGGAGAGCTAAAAATAATGTATGACAGAGACAGCATAGTGTGATTAATAAATATTCTGCTATTCTCATTCATTTACTACCATGGCTCCTTTTAGATGTTGTTCTGTGAATTTGTAACTGAGTCACATGTTATAAAGAGAGAAACTTTTCCCAGGTTAGACATCTGGAAAAATGTGAAAAGTCTTCACAAAATAGCAAACAGTGATAAGATTGCAGTGATCATATTTTTGTTTTGCATTTAAAATGAACCACACCTTTCCCAGGTACTGGGTTTCAGGCTTTTCTTCCTTTTGTGGTGTTATATTTTGAATGTGTTCTTCAGTTCTTTTCTGATAAGTCATACTTACTTGAAACCCTTTGGTACTTTTGACCATGATAAAGGCTTGTTGGTTTGCTTTTGGGAAGAGTTTCCCAAATTGCTCCTACAGAAGAGCTGGACACAATTGACATTTTCTTTTCATTCTATGTAGCCAGGGAGTATTTTTGGCGGCATTTAGTGCAGAACCCCATCGCAGGTATCATTTTGTTTCAGTAGTTTCTGCACGTATAGGGTGAAAATATCAATTAATGTCTGACTACCACTCAACCATTTATAAAGCTGACTGAAATTATGGAAAACTATTTTTCCTCTCAATAGAGTAGATTAGTCTGTTAGAAGACCTGTGCTTTTCACTCCCTTGTGTCAGCCACCAGTATTGGAAGGAGGGGAGAGGAAGAATTATCTCCATGAAACTCAACGTCAGTTTTTGGGAATCAGCATTTGGAATACAGGACCTGCCATTGTAACATGGCACAGCCCTTGCCGAAATGGCCAAGGTCTTCCCTGCAAATGCTGTGCCATCCCTAGCTTTGGTTTCTGGGCATTTGTTTTGGTGTCTGCTGAACTGGTATGACTTGTTCCCTTGATGACCTTGCACACCTGCCTATGGGTATAGGAATTTCCCGCAGATTTATCAAATTAGTCTGGGGCAAGACCGATACATCAACTTGAATGGCTGTACCAGGGCTTGACCTGCAAGCAGGACGTCGTCCTACCACTATTCCACTGAATCCCAATCTGGGAAACACTTTTAGCATTGCCAAATCCTAAACTGCCGTGCGACACACTTGTAGCGGATCACTTGGGAGTCAGTTTTAACTCGACAAGGCAATAACTCCAGCGACAGTGAAGGTGCACAGCCTTTCCCTAAGGTGACTCCAGCGACAGTGAAGCTGTACAGCCTTTTCGTCAGGCTCAACCAGAACATCAGACTGGAGCAGAACATCAGCTCCGAGCGGCGGGACAGCCGGCCCTGGCAGAGGGGGCTGCGGGCACGGGGCCCTGCGGGGCCAGCGCCAGCCGGGAGCTCGCCTCCACAGCAGCCCCGGGGCGGGCAGAGGGACGGGGCGAGGAACGCCGAGGAGTCCCGGCCCCGGTGCGGCGCTGAGCGGGCGCGGGAGGGCAGGGCCGGTGTCCCGGGCTGGCGGCGGGGTCAGGTGGCACCGCCCCTTCCCGGTGACGGCAGAAGCCGAGCCCCGAGAGGCGCCGCGGGAGCAGCGGGAGCAGCGGCAGCGCCGGCTCTGCCCCGCGGCCGCACGGAGCCCCCGCCGCCGCCGCCGCCGTGCAGGTGAGGGCGGCCCGGCCGCAGCAGCAGCAGCAGGTGCCGCGGGGCTGCGGCTGGGGCGGGGCGGCGAGTCTGGTGTGAGGGAGGCTCTGTGAAGGCAGGCGGGAGATGCCCGGCGTCGAGGAGAGGGCCGGGGTGCAGCGGAGGGTGAGGGATAGCCGTGCCAGGGGGACACTTGGGCTGGAGGGGACAAGGGAGTCTGGGGGCTCCCTGAGGTGGCCCTGCCACCCCGCACCTTGTGTCTGTTTGGGCCCCGGCGCAGCGCAGCTTGAGGGAGAAGAAGGAAGGAAGGAAACCTTGGCAGTGTGGCAGTGCCTGACAACAGCCCCGCCGTGCGCGGCCCTGCCCGGAGTGAGGCCCGGCCTGCCCGGGGCAGGTGGGCACCATCTGCAGCCGGTTCCGCTCCCCTGCTCGCCCGCCGGGCCCCAGGGCTCCGCGGGCAGCGGCTGCATCGCAAGGGCCGTCCGTCGATTGTTATTAATTATTAGTGCTGTGGTAATGCGCTGGTGTGTATCCATCTGCCGAGGTGATGTCCTAAAGCAGAGCTCAGGGCACGGATGCAACAAACCTTTTGCAATGCGCAGAGCACATGGACACATTTAGAAATTGACAATCTTGGACTGCACTTCTTGGTTAACTTTCTGTGTCTGGAAAGCACCTGCTGTGCCATATGCGTGAAATTATAACAGACTATGGATTTATCAGTGGTTATCCGAGATATTATTTGCTAGCTGGTACATTTATAGCTTGCCTTTCCTCGTTTTTCCTCTCTCTGTTATCACAAAAAGAGTTACGAGCTGTACACTGATCTTCCGCTAAGAAGGGTTTGTTTGTTAAAGTCTGAAGTAAATGAAGTACAACTAAGTCTGAAGTAAATGAAGTACAACTAAGTAGTAAACTCTGTTTTTTATTTTTTTTGGTCCATGCTCGTTTGGTTACTTGCAGTATGTCTTTTAGACTTTTCAGTCAGGCTTTTCAATTAAAGCCTATCAGAACAGGTCTTATACAAACAGTAACAAGTGATCTCAGTTTTGCATTTGGTTCAGGACACCTTAAAAATTTAGCTCCTGTAATTCCTACAGTCAAAGGGAAAGAGTCATGTCTGTGTCTAAGCTAGAGCTTGTGGCATGTTTTGGTGATTATTAACTCACTTACTGAGTCCTGTAAGTGACGCTGCATCTTTCCAACTTAGGCTTAAGTGAACTTTTCAGCAGAGGAGCAGTGATGCTTCTATTACACCCAGCATCTTGTAGTTCACACTCTGCTGGGTTAGAGGCATCCAGGTAATGGGCTGATTAAAGTCATCACAGAATTCTGCTGCATGAACGGGTAGAAAGATTGTTAATTCAAGTAGTTGTGCAGTGATAGGTGTAAGGAAGGCTGAGGGGCACCTGTGGGTGAGTGTGAGACAGCTCCTGATGTATGAAGGTCTAATGCCAAGGGCTTCTCTTAGTTCTTTTACAATTAGGCAGCTCTGTGTGATGTTACTCTTAAACTGGAGCAGGTAGCCTAAACGGTCTAGGAGTGGTCAGTTAGGTTGATCAAATAGTGCATTATTCTTTCCACCTTAAGTCAAAAACTTGGTTTATGACTTAGGAGTTAAGTTAGATCAAATCCACTGTTTTCTCTGGTTTCAGGAGAAAGAGCTGCTTTAAAAGGGGAAGTCTAGTGTATTATATTCAACAGAAACTGTTTAAGAAGCCACCTCTGAGAGGCAGTTCCTTTGTATTAAGAGAGTTATCTCTCAAAAAACCTGCTGCATTGCCCTTTATTAAATAGCTGCATTTAGAAACTTATTTTCTTGGTTTTCTAAAGCATATTTCACTTAACAGTTATACCTTGTACTGTAAAAGGCAGAGCTGATGTATATTTTTTAATAATCTCTTGAAAAACTATACTCATTTAAAAATTCCGGTTTTTATCATTCAGTGTAGTGTTGCATAAATGCTTAAACCTTGCCTCAGGTCACAGCATATTTGCTCTTTTCACTAAGAATCATAAAAAAACAAAGTGAGAAGACAGGGTTTCTGGTTTTTTGGTCAGAAAACAGACACTGTTCAAAGATTTTAATTTAATTTTTTATTTTTCCTCCTTTCATTTCTTGTTTTAACAAATCATTGTAGCAAGATGACCATGGCTGTCTTTTTAGATTCAGGCCTGTCATAATTTAAATGATTCTCTGATTATCTTCAGGTAGTCTAAAAGCATCAGTTACATTATGGCTAAAAGAAAATAATAAATTTGCTGGTGCTTACAATACTTAAAAGTTTTTCACTTCCTCCCAGTTGCAGGATTGGAGTACTTAAATTTTTTCAGTACTATAAGGAAAGAATATTCCATTTTTAAATTACTTTAACAAGCCAGTGTAAAACACTAAATAGTGTATAATGTTTTGCAAGCCATGGAGAGGTTCTTACTTTAGAGCACTTCAAGCTCACGGTTGGCAGTGCAGAGGTAAGAAGGGACTCTTGTGGCTTCTCTGTTAACTTTCAGAAAAAAAAAAAAAAAAGTGTTTATTGAAGTGGTAGAATTCAAAAAGGGATTGGAAAGATTGCACCGGACAGCTCCAAAGTGGGAGGCAGCTCCTAAAGCGGCTGGTGAGGCGGTGATAAAAGGCGGGCTAGGGCTGTTCATGAGAGGGAGCAGCAAAGAGCAGTCAGGAGACAGTGACACGGGGTGAGGGGGCGAGGGCTGGCAGAAGTTACCAAGGGGAAGCGAGAAGTGCCACGGTCGAGTTAGCCATGAACACGGAAACTGAAAGTGCTTGTGATGGAGAGCAGTGGTCTGAGGAGAGAGGAAGAGAAGCAGAGGAGACGCCGTGGCTGGTGGCTGCATGCACAGGGCGTCTTTAAACCTGTCCTGTTCAGGGATGGGCTTAAGGGGGATGGCTGGGAGCTTTGTGGCAGCAACCCCTGCGACTTGTGTGACAGTGATACTCGTTCATGGGTGAAAGAGCAGGTTGTAGACCATCCCGTTTGTAAATAATCTCACTGAGGAGTAATCAGGCTCCTAATTAGCTGTTTGATGCAGTGATGTGGGAGACCAGAGAGCACAGAAACTTGCTAATATTTGTGAGATGTGCTCTGTACAAATCTCTCTTTTGGCTGTTTTGTGCCAAGATGCATCCCAAGTGTATACACACAAATATCTGCCACCCAACATGTGGGTAAGAAAAGGCAGCCTGTGTAGGAGAAACAGAGCCATGAAGTTTTAGAAGTGCAAAAACTGATGTTTAGATGTTGCCAGCACTTAAGTGTTTGTATTATTTACGTTTTTCCTTCATTGCAGTTCTCAAAAGGACAGTTGCCTGCTTTACATTCTCATGTAGGTCTCATCCAGGTTTAAATTCTAACACAGTGCAGGAGTTTACACAAGCTGATGTTGCTGGGACTGCCCTCTGTGAATGGTGTTTGTACCTCCTTTCAGGATAAACCAGCAAGGGTTAATGTTGGCCATGTACCTATCTTGGATTTGCATGGGCAGGAGTTTTTGTTAGGTATCTAACTACATAAATGTGATCTTCAAAGAAATGAAAATGCTCTTTTAAATACTGAATTTGATCCCTTTTCTTCCGTATATTTTTTCTCTTCAGGACACTGAAGACAATAAAAGTTTGATTAAAAAGAGAAAATGCCCAGAAAGAATATCGACTATGGAGTGCTGCCTGAGTATGAGAAAAGCCAGATCAAAAGGACCTTGGAACTGGGGACTGTTATGACAATATTCAGTCTAAAGAAGAGCAGCCCTGAAAGGAGGACTATTCAAGTCATAATGGAAACCAGGCAGGTAGCATGGAGCAAGACAGCTGACAAGATTGAAGGTTTCTGTGAGTATTTGCAATGTGTACCTGAACTTGGAGTTACTAATAAATTGATGTACTTGTCAAATATAAATTTAACAAGCCTTTTGTTAGCATTATGAAGATTTTGGGTGAAAGAGTTTGGTAATTTGCTGAGAATATTTTGAATTGTTGTAGACGAAAAATCTTCTGCAGCTCATGATTTAGGTATCTAACACTACTACTATGATTAATTTGCTTTTATCCTTAGCCTTGTTCTCAAAGTTTTCATCTTTGAATATGATGCTGTTTGTGTTATCTGAATTGAGACTGTTTTCCATCGTGATGTCTTATAAATTCAAGTGAGTAATTATTCTTTACCACTTCTCTCCAAAAAAAAAAAGAACCAACCAAACACCTTCAAATACAAAGAAACTGAATTCACATTCTGATATTCTTGAGCAATTTGCTGTCTCAGGATGGAAGCCATTATTTAGGACCATTATTAGAAAGTACCAATGACTTAGGAGGATGGAGCTGTGAGATATGAGGTGGTTTCAAGGCCCTGAGTTGGTATTGTCTCTTTAGTTGATATTGGAACTGACTAAACCCACTATTTATAACAAGGTCAGGAAATAAAAGGGGAGTGTAAGGCTAGATAGGCTGCAAAAACGAATAGAAGAATAAAGTGGGACTAAGCCTCAGTTCTTATGAACACAACTGATGCTGAAAATGCTCAGCCTGGGCTTTCTGTGATTTGTGTAGCTCAGGGGGGTGTAATGTAATTACAGTGCTTGCATATAACTTTAAAAAAACCAATTGTGAGCATGATTTTACTCCACAGCTGCTAAGAAGTGTTTGTCCTCAATAAAGGAATGGAATAGTTTGTCTGAAATGCCAAAATAATTTACTGGTCTGTTGAAGTGTGGATTTTTAGAAGGTGGGGTTTTTTTTGATAAATACAAGGTATGTTAAAAACCCATTGGTCTGTAAGGTTTCAAAGACAAACACTAAGAATTTGTATGATTTTTGGGTTATCTGAGCAGTTTCTCTTCATGGTCCTGACTTAAAAGTATTAAATCTCTCCTACTGTTTCCATTGATTCCTGTCTCATTCCTTGTGGAAACTGAACCTGCAACTGGAAATGTGATTTAGTGGAAATAAAGACTCATTGTCTGGGAGGATGTTCTTATTATTGGTGGTGAAAATATGGTCATATTCAGTATTCTGGGGAAAAGCAAACAGGTCTGGACACACAATTAACAGGTACTCTGATCATAATTTTTCATTGCCCCAGTTTCTTACATGACTAATGAGAGTAATTATCCTTTCCTACAATGAAGCATGTGAATGCAAGTACAAGTGTATTGCTGGTACTGTGCCAAAAAAGAAGTCCTGAGAGGGCATGTAAAATTCAGTTATGAGAGCAGTACTTGAGTATTGTTTAGCAAATAAAGCCTAGGGTTTATATACACAGCAATAAGATGAAAACATAGCAGAAAATGACCACTCAGTGATGGAAGGAGATCTCAGAGTCCTCTGCCAAACCAATCTTTGACCACGTGTTGAACTCTTGTTGTAGCCATTTGCCCAGAGGGGGCAAATTTAAAGCTGAACAGAATGTGCATTCCAGATGTTGGGGTCAACTTTTTCAGTCTTGTCTTATAATCACCTTTTATCAAAGCTTTCTGTGGGTGGTGTGTGTTTGTGGTAATAAATTAATTAGTTTGTTCTGTGCATAGATTTTAACGCTTTTAAAAGAAGCGTTATATTGAAGGATATTGTGATTTTACTCTTAAACCTGGGTGATCCAGCAGGGTAATGCCTTGGCTTGCAGATCCACAGGCAGTCATTGCTTGAACAGGGAATATTGCTCCAGGCCTGTCACTTACCCAAAAGCCGTCTGCCCCTCCACAAAAATTGTAATACTGTAGCATTTTTTTTTTAAATTGAGCAACACTTCAGTGGCACGTATAACGATGGGAACTTTAGGTCTGAAAATATGTCCTGGTTTAAAGCACACATATGCAAAATATTGCATTATTGTCTTAAAAAGCAACAAATCTGCCCAAACATGATGTATTTTGCAGGTATTGTTCTGGACTATGATATGAACAGTTGTTCCAACTCACCATGAACTGTATCTGGTCTACTAGAAATGAAAGTCACTGCAGTTTTAACTTGCTGACAGTGTTTTTGCTGAAGAGGAAGGAAGTATTTTATTTAGTTAGTTATTTGTATGTTCCTGTTACTTCTTTTTACTGAGGGTCAGGCTTTCTTTTTGCTTGAGAAGTGGAAAAATGATGGATTTGATAATAGAATAGAGCAGCCTCTTGAATATGGATGTATATATGAATGACCCCAAATATATGCTGGTGGATTCTGTTGACTTTGTGACAAATAAAAACCCACATTTTTGTTTCTTGATTTTTTTTTTTTTTTAAGTGGTTGAGGGCAGAGAATTATCATCTCAAGTATTATATGAATACACTTATGCTGTACAAAGCCTGATATTCATGATGTGATTGTAATGGTTGCTATTTGCATGTGTGTCAGTCCAAAAACAATTAATATTCAGGACGAGTGGGAAAGTTAACATGGTTTCCTGTTCCGTGTGTGCTATTTTAACTCAAGTTTGGCAACTGCTCTTTACAGAAGGCAGAAAACTCAATGATTGCATCTGCTATGGGTTTGTGTTTCTAAATCAGATAGTGAGGAGAGTTCTTTAACTTTGGGACACAAAGTTTTTGGCTGCTAATAGATAGCAAAGATGGAGTCCAACTTTTATACTTTATTTTAATACTCTCCCTTTGGAGATCAAGAAAAAAATGATTGTTTTTTTCTCTCTCCCTATCTACCCTGTGTAGTGTTGGGAATTTTGGATGTCATAGTGCTGATTTTCTTGCTGATGGACTGTAAATGTTTGAAGAACACTCAAATGGCTCTAAGCCAGAGTTATATTTATTACAATGACCTTTTTGCAAGTTTGGTTAATAATATTTTGGAAGTGATTTAAGTTAAGCCTCATAATAACAAAAAGGCAGCTACTCTTATTGTGGAATAAATTGACCAGGGCAAGGGAGAGATGTAGGATTAGCTATACTTATATAAATATTTACACGACCCCATGGGCCCAAAAGTGGCACTACTGTGTATTTTAAATTGCATTGCTTATGAAAAAGGCCCCTTTTGTTGAAAACCTGCCAGCATATCTGTTTAGAATAGAGTGAAAGGGTTGCTAAAATTAAGGCTATTTCCTGCACAGTGCAGATGTGTTTCTCTGGATGAGAAACTTCAGAAACCTCTTCCTAGATTCAGGTCTTTGGTGTGGTAAGAAGTGAGGATTTACAAAGGGTAGGAAATCTGGTGTAAACGATGTCTGTCTTCATTGTGTGGTTCAGATCACACAGTATCCAAGTACTGGAGATTTTATGTTGACCTTTTGAGAGACTTGAGTTGCGATATACAAAAGGAATTTCTAACAGAAAGGAGCTGGGGAGAAACCTCTGTATTTTCCCCTAAATGAAAGAACACAGGTTGGTTGTGTCCTTTAGAGAGGGATATGCTATTTCAACAGTAGCTCAAGAGGCACTCTATTTCTGACTGTGCATGACATAAGTTTGAGGTGGTTTTCACAGCCCAGTATTAAGCAGTTAAATTCCAAGCTTAGTCTCACCTGTCTACCCAGACAGGCATTTGGGAGAATGAGCTTATTTTTGCTTGAGAGGAGAAAAGCTTGGTTTCCTTGTACAGAGGGATTTGATTTGCCTATTTAATTTGCAATGGGCCTTTTCTTGCAGAAACAAATCCCTGCATACTGGGTGGGTAACTGTGAAGCTGTGACTTGCCAGCATGGCCTATTGCAGTGTGTGTTGCCTCCTTATGGTTCTGCTGTGTGTTTTTATTGTGTGTTTAACCTTTACAACGGTGTGTGGGTCTGGATGGATCACACTGTGGCTGGGGTTGTGCACACTGGACAGCAGTGACAAGCAGAGGGGAAGGAAAAGGTGGCCAAGGGAGGGCAGGATTTGCCAGGACTCTGCTGAGACACACGGCTCTGTGGCTGACACCTGGGCTTTGCTGTCTGAGAGGACCTTCCAGAACTCCCAGATAAGGCCTCCCAAATTGTGGTACAGCATTTATATGCACATGAACAAATTAGGGCTCAAAGTTTTGCCATTTCAACTTGTAGAGCAAGCAGGTGGTGAGGTGTAAATCTCCAGGAAACTGATCTGTATGGATATTCCATTCTTTCTCAGATGCAAAGTGCTTTCAGGACAATTATTAAGGGAAAGCTCATGGTGACTAGAGTTGGATTAGTCACTGGAAAATGTGTGAGGTTCTGCATATTCTTCCAAGAATCCCTTGAGTGAAGGGATGATTCACAGCCAGGAGAATTTATACTCTCAGAAATCTGTGGTGCCATCCTTGAATGTGCAAGTGTGTGATTTTCTGTAATACAAGCATGCTCATTTCAAGGAAGATTCTATTTGAGGACAGAAGATGATTTCTCTGTTTTTGAATACCTAGGAGTTTTTTTTTTTCCACATGAAGAGGTGACCTGCTTTTGTAAAATTATATAAACCATATTTTAATGCCTTAATTTTTGGAAAAGAAGGATCAGCTGTTTTTTTCATGTTCTTTATTTATTGTAAAATGCTCCATATTAAAAAAATCTAGTGACAATTTAGTTGTACAATCTCATAAGAAGAAATAGGTTTAAAGCATCAGAGGGCCATATTTAGAAAAAGTTTTATCAGCTGTGAAACTGCTCTTTCTGTATGCAGAGCGAGAGGTCAGGTGTAGGTAAGGTTGAAAGAAAAAAGGGAAGAGAAATGGTAGTATTAATTTATTCTGAAAAATTTCTCAGAGGATGAAGTACCTGGATTGGGGAGTGGCAGAGATGTAGACATCATGTCGATGTAATTGCAAAATTATGAAGCAGGGGAATAAAGGTTATACTTAAATTGAAGCTTTTGATGCTTGTGACACACCACAGTACAACAATAGCAGCCATTTCTGTTTTCTGCAGCCCAGACTTTTATTAA